TTTGACAAACATTCAAAACTGTTACGTTCTTCGGCGATAAACCCTGATATTCGCAGGCCCTTTTTAGTATTTCACGACAGATAAAGGCTTTAATATGAAATTTATGGGGGTTCGCATTCGCACTGACCCTGTTCGCGCTGGACAGTTGCTTACATCGCCAGAAAATTTCTTCGTTCGGTCTAAAGCAAAGAGATAAATCCTCGAGCGGCGGAAAAAGCCCGTTATTGGTTCATGTGTCATCGAATTCTTTCGCTTAGGTTTTATCTAAATACTCGATCACATCAGAAGCCAACTAGCGGTCAACCGAAATCTTAACTGATGTATCATCAGAAAATTGTTTGTTTTATTGTTGAAAAGTTAAGAGGAAATTAATTTTAAGATGCATCTTTTACGGAAAATGAATGACGAAGGCATGTGGGGTGCTTCTCAGGAGTTGGTAGATAGTTAGCATGTTTACGTGAAAAAGATCGAGTTTCAAAAATCCGTGTTGAAAATTTGGTTCGATTCATACTCATGCTCATACCATCATAACACTGGGTAATTTTTTTGGGAAAATCTGACGGATTAAAGCTTAGTTAAAAAAAGAACTCCGGCACTTTTTGTAAAGTAACCAGCAGAACTCCGGCACTATTATGTGTCGTCTAATGTTTACCGGCAAATCTTGTAAGAGAACATTTTTCAATAAATGTAAAAAAATGCCCGGGCCTCTGGTAAAACGAGCGGCCCAGCAAGGAATCTCCACAATTCCTGCCTACACATTACTGGAATTTCACAATTCCTGCCTACGCATTTCGGTTGAATGTTGCATCGTCAGGAGCTTGACTTTGTTGGAAAATGTTTATGTTTTCAGTCATGTCTTCAGACTGTAGCGTTTCGAAAGTATGTTCTACATTATCGTTGAGTTATTTTTTTCTTATTTTTATGTTTTTGCAAATAAATCATTCAACACGTTTATTCCAACAATTTTGACCCACAATTCTAAAAGCATCAACTTGGAATCACCCTATTTAGGAAAGAAATCGTTAGATCCAATATTTTATGCGTTTGCGTTTTGCAAAAATGCCTCGAACTAAAAAGTGAAACCCAACGATCTGGAATTGAGCCCGTTTTCGGTCAAAAGGGATCCGATCTAAGGTTTTTAATACATCCCTGCATAGGACAGGCCGGACAGTGATGGATTATACAATAAGCCAATGGTCAAATGTACAGTTTACGTTTTGAGGTTCTGTAATATGTGCTGATATAGATATTTTTTCATTCAAACGCCCAATTAAGTTTTAAAAAAGTCTAATTGACCCTAAGCAAAACAATAATTTCTGGGAGAAAATGCTGACAATCTGGCAATTATTTATCACCTACCTATCCGGAATATCGTTATTAAAAAGTGGTCCGCCCTCAAATGTCGTTTTAACTCGGGCAAATTTACTTGGGAAAACTCAATTTCTAACAGAAAAACTGTTTATTTTTATAGCGTTGCCAGTGGAGTTTCCACTTTCCCTACTTAGTTTGCTCCATTAGGTTTTTATTGAAAAACTGAGCCGCGCTGATGGCACGCTTTGTCTTGAAAGGGATCTCTTTATTTCGTTAAAAATTACTTGAAGGCCCATTTGCTTAATCTGGGTTGTTAAGAGCCAGTTCCATTTCCTAGAAGCTCTTTTCAAAAACCCCTATTTAAGAAAGAGCGGTTGCAACTTCCACTCACAACAACCTGTGATCATACAATTAGTATTTAAATTTCCCCTTTTGGCTACCAGCAAGGACCTTAATCAGCACTATCAAAGCCGGACTCTTTCCAGAATATGCAATTTGGGCGTCAAGTGGAACTATGGTCATCATAACTTCGCAGCTGAAGTGTTCTAGAATACATTAATTGCCGGGTCCAAAGACCCATGTCGGGAGGGCATTATAAACTTTGCCAGTCCTTCTCATTATTATCTCAAGACGTATCCACCTTAGCAGCTTTGCATAGTCAACAATGGGGAATTTGCGCCTATATTCCAGCTTCTTCAATAGTTCGTGATAAAAACCCTCAATATAAGTAAGCCCATAGTCATAAATAGTTGATAAAATTGAAGATTTTTCTGTTGGGTGTGAACCGACCCCTGAAGATGCCAGCGAAACGTCAGGACCAAACTCCTATCGACGACAGTCTAATAACCCGAAAATCACAAGCTATTCATGATTTGAGTGGCTTAAGCAAAATAATAATAATAATAACAAAGATTGAATGCGAAATTAATGGCACAGCAGAGCGTTGCTTGAAAATGTGTTATGAATAATGGGGCCTGAAACTCTTAGTATTTCTCTACAAGGGAGCATTATTTCGATTTGTAATAGAAAACGGCTCTTTAAGGGAGAATTCCGGGCGTCTTGCTGGGAGCCCGCTTATTCCTACATGCTGATGAGGGTGCGATTTATTTTCGATGGGTGTTGATTCTATTTGAGGGCGTGCCTGAACAGTTTCTTACATATGCACGATCAATTGAGATTATTTGGATTGGTGCTAATTTAATGCGAAATCAATTTGATCAGCACGCGCTAAATTAATGTACGCAGATAGACGGCTTATGAAATGTTAATCGAATTTCCACTTAAGCTTTTTCTTCGGGAAATAACAAAGGCTTTGTTGCGGCCGCGTATATAATAACCAAGCGTAGGTTGAATAATACCGAACGAGCGAACAAAATACCTCATCATGTTGCTAAGAATGAAACATAAATTACTCGGTGGATTTCTAAACGAGTTGCATGAACATTAGACTGCAATGTTGACATACGCTGCGAATTTTCAGGTGCGGTGGATTTTCTGAATCTTCCATTCATTACAATGTTAGTTTTGGCAAACTTGTTTACTGTTCTCAAACTAAGCGAATGGAAAAACTAGTAAAAACAACTTGGTCGTAGAAGACACTGAAGTAGAATAAACAGAGCCTAAAAAATCGGCACTATTCCTCCAAATCCCAAATGTTTAATTGCCATAACGCATCAAATGACAATACAGAATGCTTCCTCTGCAATTTGCTGAAAAATGGAAAATCTACCGCCTTTTCCATTTCCATTCAGGCATCAGATTTAGCCAGAGTAAGCCTTTATATTTCTCGACATGTCGATGATAAAATCCCCTATAAACCGTTGATCAAATTCATTTGAATATGGGCTGCAATAAAAATGCAATCCCATTTCCTCAGAGGCAAAACATTCTCGAAGGCTCTGGGAAAAAGCCTGTTTCCAGTGCCTGTTTTTTTCATGAAAAAGGTAATTCTATTGCGGATTCCGTTTTGTGCCCACCCGAAAAATATGGTTGTCAATCCGGGGAATTGACGCAGTGAGGTATCAACTATTTTATAAGCCAATCAGGTACATTGATTGATTAATGTGGTTTTATATGAACAGGAATGGATGACGACGAAAAAAACTGTATGGAATTGAAATTGACAAAGTTTCGTTCTTTGTAACGTTTCAGCGACAGACAAACAAGTCTAGAATACCCAATACGTTCCTGTCCATCCAGAATTTGTCCAATTCGGAAATTTGTGTGATACGGAAATTAATATTAGTAGGAATTGAGAAAGAGTCGATCGCCCTTTTTATCCCTTATTTCGCTTTTTCGTCCGCTTTTTCAGATAGACAATTTCCGATGGATCTGTCAATAGCAGAGAACATGTAACGTCCTTTTTATATTGGCTAACGTAGGCGGCGGCTCAGTCCAAGCCAGCAACTGGACGTGGACCTTTTGCTGGATTAATTCCACCCTCATAAATAATTTCTAAAACTTTCCAATGGTTTAGCATTTTTCAGCTTTGGATACCACCCTCTTGATGTCCCGGTATTTACAACAGCAATTCATGTAAATCTTTTCAAATTCATGGCACCAAATAAATCAGGACTTTAGGCAGACTTGGAATTTACGCTTGAAAGTCGCTAAGAACACCTGTGTGTCGCGGTTTGCTTTGAAGACGATTTTGCCACCCTAACAAGGACTGGAACTCCAGAAAATGCGTACGGGAAATGTTAATGAAGTGTTTTCCTCGCTTGACCTGCCTTTTTCACACACCGATTAACAAAGCTTCATATCTTTGCTCTTAACTACATATGGGCTGTTTAAGCAGGCCTGGCAATCTCTTTTAAAGTTTGAGCTGGGAAATGCAATAAATCGCCCCGTAGCACCGGAAAGGGATTTTTCCACAAAGATAATACCAAACTTGAAAAAAGAAATATAGCAAAGCTGACCAGGTCCTACTGATAAAGTTTATAATCTATATGGGAAAATACATTTTGACTTGACTAGTTTTCACTAGTGAATCACTCATCTTTTCAATTTCCAGAGCAAATAAAGCAGTTTTGTCCAAGTAATTGCCCTTTTTGCTGTCCGGTATAATACGAAATCTAATGAAAAGTAAGCCCGTGGGTGTCATTCGATTAAATAATATGCGATATAATCCAAAATGTAAAGTTTTCGACAAGCAAATATTCGTTACGCGGTGTGACACATCGGCGGCCAGCTAAATTGATATAAATCGATATATTTAATATAGCGCACTGATGGAAATTTATATAAAATAATAAGAAATGACAGTGAATTGATGGCCTAATAAAATGCACTAATAAATTTTGGAGGCGGGATTTTTTTTTTTAATTCACAACACGAAAACGAGGACTTATCGATATAAATTCGAGGCGTTTTTGGTCTCGCTGTTTTCAACCGGTGATTGAATACCGGCTATTAAAAGCAGAAATGCTCTATTTTTATTTACCCCGACAGAGTTTATATAAACTTTCAATTGCGTTATTCGGCAAGTGCTTTCAAACTGGTTTACACAAAATATAACAAACACTACGATAATTGATTTAAAACAATGCAGTTTGGCTATTAAACGTAGCTCTAATTGTGTACAATTTATTTTATGGTAACAGCATGGGCACTCTGTGTATTACCACTCAGCAAATTACATTAAAATACCAGTCGAGTATATTTTTAAGTCGAAATTATTTGTGTTTCAGGTGTGATCAAGACCACAGCGATTTTGGACATTGAAACCAAGGATCATTATTGGCTCACTGTGTTTGCTCAAGACCATGGTGTGGTTCCATTGTTTTCCTCTGTGGAGGTAAGATATCGAGATATTAAATGTGAAACTTACTGCACACTTGTGAAGGTTTCTTTAGGTTGGGTTTGTATTGGCAAGTGGATTTTTTTTCAAATTGCCTGTTTTCTTTCGTAATTTTGTGCCAGAAGCTACTTTACTTAAGTCTTAAACAGCGTTTTGTCCAAAGGATTCCGCACAACTTTGCAACTTACTTGTCTTCCAGATTTTTCGAATGGAAACATTCAATAATTAAAATTTTTAAATTTCATGATTCAACTAGGTCAATCCGACAAGATCACCCGGGTTCTTGTGGGAAAACTTTGCAAAACAAAGTTGCTCCCGCGAAATACATAGTGAAAGTGATCACATTTTGGTTGTAAATTTTTGAAAGCAAATCTGTTCTAGGGAACGTTAAAGTAACTGCAACACTCAAATATAAAAAATCGCAAAAATCGATCAAAATAGTGAGGAATTATTAAAAACCACTGCCTGCTGTCTCACACACATTATTCCAAAAAGTTTTTTGAACGAAAAATTACGAGAGGACAGTATGAAAAACATTGGCATATTAATTGTAACCTAAACAATCCAATAGTTTTCCCTTAACTTTTTTATTTTATGTTACATATAGCCAATGCATCTTACAACCTTTCAACGAGCCTTCATTCTTGTGAACACATTTTTAGCAAGAGGACCAAGTTAGGAAATGTGTTACAAAAAAATTTCACCACTCAGCTCAACTATAAAAAATATCTACTTAAAAATAACTACCTTGCAAGTGACCCTAATTTTTTTTAACGAATTTTAAACAAACAGCCTAACTAGTGTAGACTATTTCAGAGAGCTCTTCATTCTCAGTAAAATGTGTAAGAAAATAAAGACAACACTCCACTATAAAAATTGCCAACAATCAACAAAAACGGGTAGCAAATCGACGCCCAGAAGGCACATGGAGAAGAGTTGCCTCTATAAACGGACTGAAAATGGAGGCCGTCGTTTGAGTGGTCAAATTTTTGAATAAAAAAACGAGAAGACAGTAGGAAACAAATTGCCTTATTAATTGTGTTCCAAACAGCCTAAAACCAGCAGAATGCAAGTTCCCAACGCATGATTGGGTTGATATTTAGCCAATGCGGCACAAACGCCTCCTATACTCAATCAAAATGTCAGTTCGAAGGGGGTATTTAACATTAAACTATTCGCGTTTTCAATCCGGAAATTCCGCTCATCAAACACACAGATTCCACTCTGGAAATTCGGAAAAAAATTCAGTGCAATCGCGAGTAAATTGATACCTGCAGGATTGAAAGAGCAAATGTTTGGCTTTTGGTACTCATACAGTAGCAGCAAAAATAAACCGTGCAGTTTAATGGAACATTTTTTTAAAGCAAGCAAATCTATCCGCTTACCAGTTCCAATGCCCCTGCTTCGCGATACTTTTTGATGGTTTGACGGCAATTTCTTGATCCAGTTATAATAATCTGAAACACAGAAGAAAAAGGCAGTTTAATAAGCAATTTTTTTAAGTGAAAGTCGTTAGTGTGCAGTCCAATATTGGCACTTGAAAAAATAAGCAAGGGATTAAATCAAACCGCAATATTGCTTCTTGCTGGAGTGCCAAGCTGGCCCATTTATGCCCGAACAACCAGCCAGTTAATTGGCGAACGGGAAATACAAATGCGTCCATATCGCATTTCAGGATTCATGCTTTAATTAGTTTTGCGGCATTTCCCAATTCCACTCCTAGTTTACTGACTTGGCTTCGGCATAATGCAGTGCGCAACGGTATTTCATTCCGTTATGTTACGCAACGGCCCAAATACATCGACTAACTTAGTTATCATTAACCATTCTGGCAAGCGAAAAATGTTGCCCACCCCCCGGCAAAAAAACAACCCTGCAGATTCATCAACAAATTTGTATGCTGGCCAATGCTTTCAAGCTTAACAACGATGTTCTGCAGCCATTAAAACAGACTTGAAACGGAGGAATTACTCACCGAGCTGTTCCCTCTCGTATCATCGTAGTTTTCCGAAAAATAACAGTAACGAAGATGTGCATTGTACGTGTATAACAATAATCATACATCATATCTCACTGACCGCGCACACTAAAAGCAAACGGATGGACGTAATCTTTTTCTGGGAAATTTATGTTCAGCTTCAGAGGCGTGCGAAATCTGCCCCAACTTCCATGTGACCACCCCAATTGAACAGTTACATTTAAAAAGAAGTGTTTAAATTTTTAGTCAACCGAAGCCCTCTTCAATTTTTAGGTGTGTTAATTGATTAGTGGTTAGTTATTACTTTGGTTTTCTTCTTAAGAGCCTCCTGCTAAATCACGCTTCTTATGTAAAAAGCAAAGAAAAACTGTAACTACACTCTGAGGGAAGATAACACACACATTGAAAAAGTAAAGTTTACTAGGGAAAATTGGCCGGTTTGCTTGAACAGTGGATTTTTTATGAGCACGCCTATGTTGGGCTGCACAGGGCAGACTTATGAACTGTGCTCATATAGCAAATTAAGGTATATATTTGGCCCTTTTACTCTTCCCAAAACAACCCCGATATACTTGAGTGCCACCATATCTGCCACAATGTGGAGCGAAAGCCAAAGAGCCAGTAAATCATAAAAGGGGCAGTACATTCGTCCATTACGCTTGTCTTATGGACAGGTTTATTCACATTTTTGAACGGATTTTCATCCGTTAGCAATGCTTTTGTTATTTTCCTGCAGGCAATGGACTATTTTCAAAGTCGAAGTGATTTTTCAGGACTTCAACCAATCTAGTTGTGTTTAACTAATTGAATAAGTGCTTCGACGAAGGAAAATCGGAAGATCCGCAGAATAATTAAACCGCTTAAATAACATCTAAATGAATTAGTTTCAAAGTGGGTGTCGGCGATAATAATTAAACCGCAATACATCTTCAACGGATCATTGCCAAAGCGATATCGGAACTACACAAATCCATTTACCTAACGAAACGGGCAATCGATGCCCACCCAAATCGACTTGAGTACAGATATCGGCTTCATAACCAATTATTTAGCATATCAACATCACAGGCATATTACGTGCTATGTAAACTGGGTTGTGGCTCCGAGACAAACATTACCAACCCCTAAGTGCTAACGATATTACACAATGTCAGCGAGGGTTTATCTAACAGATATTGCTCAAGATAACGCCATTTGGATACGTTACGTGACCAGCAAATAAATCGATATTTGACTAAGGGAAATTATATTGGAATGCTCGAAAAGGACCAAAATTAACCTTATGGGTAGCGGGTGCTACCAGCAGAGTACCTGAAGAGCCCGGTTGCCATAAATGACACAGTCAAAATTAACATGTAGAATACGCAAACAGGGGACAAGATTGCCGGTTTAAGAAATTACTATTTCCTCAAGGAGAAACGCAAAACAGCAGCCAGCTCACAATCTCTACTAGATGATATAGAAGATGAGGAGCCTTTTTGGTACAATCCCTGTCCTGAGGAAATACCCGTAGCCAAGCGCAATTTATTGCGAAAACCATCGGGAACTTGTGATGAAGAAACCATAGCAAATAGGGTCCTAGGTAGCATTTTCAGTTAAATTCCTAGGCTGAAGTGGCTCAGAATGGCTTTTTTTAAAGATTGCTTGGCTCAGACTGCGTACACAGCAACGTCAGTAAAAGAAGAAATGTGCCAGCAGTATTTCCAGCAAGACTTTGAACTCACTGAAAAACTCTGCGCCGATCAAAAGCTGCATGGAGTGGACGTGACTGGATTCGGCGAAATCATTCGCAAAAAAAATCTGATCACACTCCGGATCCTGCGACTGTCCCATCAAATTCTGCAAAAAATTGCCGCTTATATCGACTTTTTCAAAAACGATTCCATCTTCAAGACCCAAATACAGCCACTAAGGAACTTGCTGTGTGAAATTAAAAGAGCTCTGGGAAAGTATGGCGAATCTCCAGAAAACGTTACACGAGCCATTATTCCGCAGGAACTCAAGTTGGATCGAACCAGCTATTCGAAAAGAGTTAACCAATTTGTAGTGCTAAGAGATTATATGTTGGTGATGGAAATAATCCGCAACGGTTTAGAGAAAAAGTGCCCCGAACGCACCAATCCTGTGCTCGTTTACTATTGACGATTTCCTTGTGAGTTTCCCGTCCTTTCACCGATGATTATGCGGATAGGAAAAGCCCAATAACGCAATGGCTTGCAAAAGGAAAAAAATGAAATGAGTGGAGCTTGCAAGTGTTTACTGTTCTAACGAGTTTTCATCGACCAGGCCAAAGCGAAAACAACTCGACTATGAAATTCAATAAAACCGAAAAACGTCCAATACTAGTCGTGTATTTTGTAAATTTATTGGATGATAATTTTAGATGTTTAGTACCTACTGATTTTTATTTGTGAAAACCAGCTGTGCCTTCCAGAGTTTCAATATGCACATCATGCAATAAAGAGTGCATAGTAACAAGACTAAAAACTTGTGATAGGCAAATAAATAAAATACCCCACAGACGAACTGAGACATAAGAGTGAAAAAATCCCAAAGAACTGAATAAAACTGAAATAAAATGTGCGAGTTGCAAGCATCTGTAGTTTCCATAGGCCGTAATTTTAGAGGGCAAATATCAATTGTCTCCAGATTCCAGAAAATCTGGCAGGAGAAAGCATGCTTTTCCCATACTACCTGAGTAATGGGCCTACATATCGCTTGAAAACCAAGACAAAAGCCTTCACATAACACAATTGATTGTAAATTATAGTAATCGTTCGGTTGACAATGAAATTTATGGAGACAGTCCTGGAAAACAGCATTTCAGAATGACGCATCGTAAAATACTTGGTCTTTGTTGGAGTATTGAAAGCCGATGGCAAACAGATTGGGCTTTTTTGGCCGTTGAGATTGCGGAGACGGAAAATTGATCGTCAAAGTTTTTCTGGACGTAAATGGCAGAAAGCTCCGTTTGATTTTCCTTTTTTTTGCTTCAGGTGGGAAGGAAAATTGAATTAGGGCTTTTTGTAGTAAATGTTTCGTTGCCAGTTGAATGGATGTTCCAGAGTCAACAAACGGTCGAGAATTGGTTTACTCAGCAATGAAACGGGGATTAGTTGCCGATAAAGTGCAATTTAGGCTCTTTTATTGTGCGGGAAACAAGGGGTGCTCAAAATAAGCTCCCTAATAAATATCATGATTTTTCTCGCAAAGGAATAAGTTCGCCTGTTTCAAGCAAAAGTAAAAATAGAAATTATAAAACCAAAATCAATAAACCGAGCCGGTTATGTACCACAGCAAATACAATTTCTTTTCTTCTCTCTACTTTACAATTTGTGCCCCATGGCAGTAGAGATGTGTTTACTTGTTCTGTTCAGAATTCGTTATTCAGTCAGGTAAAGGGAACGCAGTTACTTTGTTACGTCTAGCTGCTTTTTGAATATACAAATGATATTTTTATTCGTACATTACGCTACGTATTTCCCAAATGAAAGGCACTTTCCTGCGGTTCGTTGAACAACTGTATGGAAAACGAATTGAGTTTACTTTTTCAGCTCTTTAAAATTGAACGTAATGAATGCGATGCTATGGAGCGTTTGGATCCAGGCATATTAATCTCTCCTTATACGTTTCAGATATTTCAATTTATTTTCCTCTAATTTATTACTGTTGCTTTACAGCAACTCCGGTTGTTACGGGCCTGGAAATAATCAAAGATTTTCCCTTTTGAGGAAATTTATAGTTTTAGTCAAAGCGCTTGCAGGATCGAGCCCGATAGGTATTCATGCCTTGATGAGATAGAAAATCCGATTCCTTTTTTACATCTCCTGCCTAGGAATTTATCTGTCCCGGCACTTTTTCGCTTTAGCACCAATCGCAATTTGCAGACGTTCCATTAATGGAAGACACATAAACCAAATTTCCGGGAAATTGCATGTTGCACCCGCCTCTAAATCGACTGTTGTTGTTTCAGATTTACATCGAGGTTCTGAACGAAAACGATAACGTGCCCCTCAGCGAACTTCCCGTATATTATCCAGTTATACAGGAAGACAGTCCTGCGGGGAAAACAGTCCTGCAGATCAAGGCGACCGACAGAGATAAGGACCCCAACCAGAAGATATCGTACAAGATAGCAGCCGGAAACCCTGAAGGATTCTTTACGATTAATTCCCACACAGGTAGGTTTCATTATGTAAATTTTCCTCTAAAAAAATATTTTCTTGGCGAAAACCACGAAAACCCCACCCTCAAACACCATGGTTCTTTCTCATGTTAACTATACTGAGGGTTATACTATAGAAACCGTTTTTTTAGGTGAAACGTAATATTAAAAAACATATAAATGCGCCCTAGATAATCTGATGTTATCCATGTTGGTGGCAAATTGGATTACCTCCGGCTAACTATATTAAAATAGTCCTATTCATTAACGCAGGCCTGGTCCTTGCTGTTAACTATTATAACCCGAAACAATAATACAAAGTGTCACGAACCGCTCGTTTGAATAAATTCGCCCTTCGTAGGCATGGGGGGCTCCCCTTAACCACACAACAAAAAATTATCATACCCTCCGAATTTACGTACAGTCGTTACCGTTAGGCGAACAATCCGGACCCATAGAGGCATTAAAAGGGAAAAAGACTTGGTCGAAGAACAACACAGTTGTCAAGTGGCAAAGAAAATATTGAAAAAACACGATCGTTTTTACCAGATATTGAGAAATAGATGAAAAATCATTTGCATAAGGTGTTGGGGAATTATGACCTCTGACGGATCCTAAAATATATCCGGAACGATGGCCCTAAGAAATCAATATATTTGACCGAACGCACTGCTTGCGAAACGTCTGGAAGCTGGAAATTATTTTCGGCGGTGTTCTAAAAACCCGTAAAACTCCCCAGCTTCAAGCTCCATTCGGTCCAAAGTCGTCTGTCCATCCCCAGAAATGCGAGAGACCAGGAAAAATTCTTATCGTTCACTAAACCAAATTTCGACGACAAAAATATCCAGAACTCATGCAGTTACAAAAAAACCTTCTTCAGCTGACTCAATTCTTTCAAAGGCTCCTAACAATGCATCAGTTTGTTGCCTAAATAATTCCAATAACTCCTGTAGAATCTCACGCCGCTCTTAATTCTTGAGGAAATTTAATTAGTGAAATTGAGATAAAATCAGCAGGAAAGCTCATCGCGCTTATTCAGACTAAAATAATAACCTGAATCAACTGCAATGAGCAGCCAGATAGTGTTTTCGTATGAGATCAAGTTGTCCTACAGTGATTCACATACGAAATTTAGCCATTTTACAGCCGGTTGATTTCGTGAATGTGATTATTATTTTCCCGATTCTCGCATCCAATCAGCGCAAAATGCTAGAAGTTTCAGCGAGAAAATGGACAATAATATCATGTGGCGTTGAACAATGAATTAATAGCGGCTATAAACCGCAATGTTTGAGTATACGGTTTCGTCGCCGATTTAATCAAATAATTCGATTTAATTAGAGAAATGGCTAAAAGTGTTTGTTTTCAATTAGGCGCGCAATTAAAAGAAGTTGACAATAAAACAAGAGAAGTAATTTGTTTTGCCAACTTTACAGCGTAATTCCGGGTCGCATTATTGAAAATTAATTAATTATTCTTGGGGAGGATTAATTAAGACGTGTTTACGATTTCGGTCTTTACGGCCGGAACTTTTTTAATTAATGATTCGATAATTGAGTAAATGGAAATAAAACCCGCCGAATTAATCTCTCAAATACTGTTCTAAGAGACCACAAAAACCTACATTTGTTTATCGGTGGCCTGTAAGACTATTTCACATGGCTGCGACGAATTTCCTGAATTAATTCCGGTGTTATTTTGGGTCGTCAGTTCTGCTTTACTTACTCGAAGCTTCTTAATAATATACACAACTAATTACTCGGGATCTCCTAGTTTGCTTAGCTGGGGATGGCGGATTTTAATTATTCATGCACGTCATGTTCCATTCCATGTGGACATGGGATACAAGAATTAATCAGGTCAAAAGTACCTTTGTTTGTTTTCACTGATAATTCTACAATTTCATAATGGGCAATATGTGGATCATACACTGGTGGATTATGGAAATCGCCCCGATACAATAAAATAATCAAATGAAGATTTGACTGCTTGCACTAAGAAAATCAACTCCTTTTCATTTCCCCTTCGGTCACATTCTTTCAATCAACAAAATTTCAAATCTCACTGCTTTTCAATAAGGGGAAATATTGACGAGAAAGCCTAAACTAAATGAACTATTGAAAGGGCACATCGAAATGAAAATTACACGACCTGGAAAAATTAACGAGTCACTCTAATGGCAATGATTTTGAACCGACGACTTTGCCTTTGGGTTGGTCTGATTTTCGGTTTGGCTTAACTTTGTCTGCCCACGTAATTACAAGAAGCTGTGAGCTTTTCCAGTTTATTAATTGTCCTTAACGGGTTTACTTCAAGGAAAAAATTTCAAATTTGATTAATCAAGAATGAATAAATTATTGGTTAAGATGCCCCGCAGGGCGTCCCGTCAAAGTCGCAATTTATATTAGACGGTAGTTTAATAAAAGACTCGCTTTAAATAAACACGAACTTCTTAAGGGCATTCGCGCTTCGCTGGTAAACTAGTCAACTTTTCCGCGTGAGAAACTCCCTTTTCAAGAGGAAGCGATTTTACAGCAATTTTTAATTAGCGATTGAAATTAATATCTACCAAACTACCTTTGCAAGTAAATTAATTTGCATTATTCAGCCTGATATTAATCCAGATGTTTAGTAAACAGGCAAGCAGGAGCCCCAATTGAAGTAGAAAGCGAATAACATATTGTTCTCGTGAGAACACCACTCAACTGCCAATTTCGTTGCTTCCACTCGAGTATTCATCCGATCATGCCCAGAAAATCCCATTTTCTAATAATCCCTCGTGAAAGAAAAAGCTCAATCAGTGCAAAGCTTTAATCCGACATAAAACCCATCGCGCCACCCTCGACGTTCAAAAAAACACATTCCGAGACATTCATAAGGCAAACAAATCGTCCGAAAGCTTTATTTAAACGTCGGCTCTATTATTTGATGATTCATATTGGGCGCAGTATTGCCAAATAAAGCAGGATCCTTTAAAAGAACCGGAATGGGGAATATTAGGGAACGCAAATAAGGAGGGTGAATGTCGCAGCAAATGCGAGATGTTTGGGAAATTTTAAAGCATCCCTGGGGCCAAACGTGTATGATAAAATTAAAAAATAACAACCTCCAAGCAAAACCATCCTATCTAAAATCAATTTCCTTTAATTAAAATGGCCTGGAAATGGATTTGCAAAGTTCAAGAATCTAGTTAGAGCCAAATCAGGCCCTCCATCTCGAAAATGGCTTCATATTTTTCCATGTTCTTGAGTCGGGTCCGTTTATCCGACAATGTCTCGTCCCATTTCACGCTTAACCAGATTAAGGATATTGGGTTGGGGTAATTCTCAACTTGACACAATGTCAGAAGATGAACAAATAGATTGATCAGCGCATTAAAATGAGCTCAATTTACAAGGAAAATCACGCAAAAATCAACTGGGGCGCCATTAAACTTAGATTAAAATTGAATTGATAAATTATCATTTAAAGGCCTCACCTGACTATAATCGACTCACTTTTCTTGCAAAGCCTCACCGTTAAAATTTCGCTTCTAAGCGCTCAAAAGTTTGTTTGTAGTAGAGCTGGAAATGTATGCGATTTTTCTTCAAGTCTCCTCGAGAAAAAATAAATAAGCTAAAGTCTAAATAAGAAATTGTATACTTAAGGGCATGGGGAACTTCTGCACGAAAACAAAGCCTTATTTGACGTAATATGGCCATAAAAACATAAGGTAACCAAGCCCAAAGGATCTGTAAGAAAGTAAACTTTCTGAATACTTAACGTAACCGCACAACGCTGTTTTGCCAGCTATAATATCAGTCTAAAGTCTCAGGGGTGCCACAATAGTGGAAGTAAAGGATAATCCAACTTTCATTTGGTTATTTGCAACTCGAGCGGGGAACTGAGTTTTTCATGTTTTTATTCTTGAAAATAAAAAATGTTCCATTCGTCAGAGGAAAACCGAAACGAAGTTGAAGACAGTTGCAGGTTATTATTGACTGGTTAATAAACAGCAGCAAGTTAACGTTTACAGGTTGAAAATTGTGAGTCCTACGGACTTGGGGACGTTTTTTAAGCACCTTGCATCCTCAGAGGTGGTATTCGAATAAAAGAAAAATAGTTTAAAACTGAGAATGGAGGACGAAAAAGCGCGATTTTTCTCGCTTCAATATTTCGGCTGTTTTTAACTCTGATCGAGGCTGAAATATAGCCGAAGCATTGAACAAAGAAACCAGAGCTGAAGATACAAGCGGAACGTTAGGAGGAGATCCATTTCCAAAAACCTACCAGTTTCTAACCAATATTCATCGTTAGCGTCCCTGGTTTATGAAAACTGGTGTCAAGTTTAGCGGGTTTGGGACGGTGAACAGAAACTCTTTATTTTCTTGAAAAA